TAGTTTAATTGTAATTATCTTTTGAGATTCGTCAGCAGTCACAGAGCAGAACAACAACACCTGCTGCAGGTCTTTCACCATCTGAAGGCTTCGTTAAAGTTGATCATCTCCTCCTACAGTTTGTCTGCATCCCAACATGAAGAGATCACGTGTTCCAGAGATGTTGTTCCACCTGCTGTGAACCCTGGAAGAGCCTCTGAAGAACCTGTCACAGCAATGATCTGACTCTAAAACATCTGCCGTTTTAACGAAATGAATCACAGCGGAACCGTCTGTGCTCTTATTGTGAAGAGCCGCAAGTCTCTCGTACCGGAAGTGTTGATGTAGTTGCTCTGAACTCGACGTTGCCGGTCAACAGAAGGTCGGCCAACTGCAGCAACAGCAGCAACAGTCAGTTAGCACAAAGTTAAACAGTGAACGGCTCCGTTAACCGGCAGGTTTGATCTGTGTGAGCGGGAAGCTGAGCGGCTAACGGCTAACGGCTAGCAGTTAGCTCCCCGGCAGACCGTTCGTTAGCTGGTTAGCCGTTAGCATGCAGTGCGCTAACCTGCTGAAGAAGCGCAGCCTGGACCCGCAGGAGGAACCGTGGAGCTGCTCGGCGGTGAGTACCCGTCCAGGAGCGAGGTACCCGGAGTACTCTGTACTCGAGTACTTTCGTGTTGGTTTGTAGTGAAGCTCAGAGGAAGCAGGTTTGATTAGCAGCGAAGAGGAGACCGAGAGAGGTGCTGAACCTGGAACCTCAGTAGCTGACACAGAACTCAGAACTCTGTCAGAACCCAGAGTTAGAGCTGGATGTAGTCACCCATCGATCAGTGAAGCTGTGTTTTGTAGTGAGTTCTGTGACGTGACGTCTCAGAGCATGACTTGGCTGATTATTGGTAATAATCAGTGATCGATGAGTTCCTCTCACACGCTGTTTCATTAACGTGGTTCATGTCGAAGCAGAGACAAAGTTCAGCAGCAAACAGCCTCATAAAGCCGATAAGGGTCCGGTCCAGCCACAGCAGGAGGGCAAAACCATAAAGCGTCTCCATGGCGACGCCTGGCAGGTTCAGGCGATTGATCGCGTGCTGCTGATAATCTGTAATCAAACATCAGACAGCTCCGGTCTATAATCAATAATCAGCTTTCATCAAACTGTCGCTTTGTCAGAGTTTTAAACTTCAACATGTTTTCGTCGCTGTTTGGCATCAGAGCCTCAGAATCTCCCAATCGATCAGTTTGATCAGTTTGATCAGCTTCTGACTCCAGACACACGTTCATCAGCTCTGGTCCATCTGACAGTCAGGAGGAGGATGAAGGTGATGATGATGATGATGATGATGAAGGTGAAGGTGGTGATGATGATGAAGGTGATGATGATGATGAAGTGGTGATGATGAAGGTGATGATGATGATGATGAAGGTGATGATGATGTCTGTTGCAGAAGCGGATGTGTTTGGAGGCGGAGCTTCAGGTGTCTGAGTGTCCAATGGAGACGTCCCACGGTTTTCCTGCAGCCAATCAGCAGCAGGAACCACAGGTGTGTGCCAGTCGTCATGACGACGTTCTGTACGTTCTGCTGTGTTTGTTGTGAAGTGGAGGAGTTACCTAAAGTTACCTGTAGTTATCCAGTTACCTGTAGTTACCTAAAATCACCTGTAGTTACCTGTAGTTACCCAATTACCTGTAATTACCTGTAGGTACCTGTAATTACCTGTAGTTACCTGTAATTACCTGTA